GACCTCAGAAATGACATCACTAATCTACAACCATCAGATCTGTGACAAATCTTCCAAAAACAAGCAATGGGGAAAGGATTCCCTGTTTAATAAGTGGTGCTGGGAAAATAAATGGGCTAGCTATACGCAGAAAACTGAAACTGGATCCCTTCCTTAAACCCTACACAAAAATTAACTCAAGATATTTTAAATACTTAAATGTAAAACCCAAAACCATAATCCTAAAAGAAAACCTAGGCAATACCATTCAGGATGTACACATGAGCAAAGACTTCATGATGAAAATACCAAAAGCAATTGCAACAAAAGCCAATACAAATGGGATCTAATTAAACTACAGAGCTTTTGGAAAACAAAAGAAGCTATCATCAGATTGAACAGATAACCTACAGAATGGGAGAAAATTTTTACAATCTACCCACCTGACAATGGTCTAATATCCAGAATCTACAAGGAGCTTAAACAAATTTACAAGAAAAAAAAACCAAACAACTCCATCAAAAAGTGGACAAAAGGTATGAATAGACATTTCTCAAAAGAAGACATCTATGCAGCCAACAAACTTATGGAGAAAAGCTCACCATCACTGATCATTAGAGAAATGCAAATCAAAACCACAATGAAATACCATCTCACACCAGTCAGAATGACAATTATTAAAAAGTCAAGAAACAATAGATGCTGAAGAGGATGTGGAGAAATAGGAACGCTTTTGCACTATTGGTGGGAATGTAGATTGGTATAACTATTGTGGAGGACAGTGTGGGGATTCCTCAGGGAACTAGAACCAGAAATACCATTTGACCCAGCAGTCCCATTACTGGGTATATACCCAAAGGAATATAAATCATTCTACTATAAAGACACATGCACATATATGTTCATTGCAGCACTATTTACAATAGCAAAGACATGGAGCCAACCCAAATGCCCATGAATGATAGACTGCATAAAGACAATGTGGTACATATAAACTATGGAATACCAGGCAACTGTAAAAGGAATGAGATCATGTCCTTTGCAGGGACATGGATGAAGCTGGAAGCTATCATTCTCAGCAAACTAACACAGGAACAGAAAACCAAACACCACATGTTCTCACTCGTAAGTGAAAGCTGAACAATGAGAACACATGGACACAGGGAGAAACAACACACACCAGGGCCTGTTACAGCGTTGGGGGCAAGGGGAAGGAGAGCATTAGGACAAATATCTAATGCATTTGGGGCTTAAAACCTAGAATATGGGTTGATAGGCACAGCAAACCACCATGGCACATGTATATTTATGTAACAAACCTGCACATTCTGCACATGTATTTTGGAACTTAAAGTAAAATAAATAAAAAAGAAAGAAAATATGGTATACAACAGGGTATTATTCAGTCATAAAAAATGAGATCTTATTATTTGCAACAACATGGATGGAACTTGATGGCATTGTGTTAAATGGAATAAGCCAGGCGTAGAAGGACAAATTTCACATGTTCTCACTCATTTGTGGGAGCTAAAAATTAAAACAATTGAACTCATGAAGATAAAAAATAAAATAACAGTTATCAGTGGTTGGGAAGGGTAGTGGGGGTGGGAAGGAAAGTGAGGATGGTTAATGGTTACAAAAATATAGTTAGAATGAATAAGATCTAGTATTTGATAGCATAACAGGGTGACTACAGTCAACAAAAATTTATTGTACATTTAAAAATAACTAAAAGAGTGTAACTGGAATGTTCCTAACACAAAGAAATGCTTGAAGTGATGGACACTCCATTTACCTTGAAGTGATTATTCGACTTTGTATTTATCAAAATATCTCACATAACCCATAAATATATACACCTACTATGTGCCCATATAAATTAAAAAGAAAAGAGGAAAAAAAAAACAGTAACAAATATCCATCAATAGGGGAATTGTTAAATCAATTATGGTGCATCCACAAATAGAGAATGAAACAGCTATGAAAAAGAAAAGTTCTTGGCTGAGTGCAGTAGTCCCAACACTTTGGAGGCTCAGGTGGGTGGATTACTTGAGTCCAGGAGTTTGAGACCAGCCTGGGCAAAATGGTGAAACCTCGTCTATTAGCCCATTTTTGTGGTGCATGCCTGTAGTCCCAGCTATTTAAGTGGGCTGAGGCAGGAGGATCGCTTGAGTAAAGGTTCTAGTGAGCCTTGGTTGTGCCACTGCACTCCAGCATAGGCAACAGAGTGAGATCCTGTCAAAAAACAAAACAAAAAACCAAGATTAAGAACAAAAGATTGAATGAATAGATAAAAGACATACATAGATTCTATCTTTTGTGTAAGAAAAGAGGACAAAGAAGAATGCTTATTTTTGCTAAAAGCACAGGGTCTGGAAGAATAAAAAAATTAGTAAAAGCTGTTTCTTAGGGATGGCAGGAGAAAGGGGCTGAGGAAATAGAGGCAGTGATAATGCTCTAAATATATTGAGCAATGTGAAGGTTTTACAAATTAAAAAAATAATAAAATGAAAAAGGAAAATGAGAACACACAGACATTGGAAACAAATGAGCTTAAAATGAATATCAGATGGCTGGACCACGTGCCTCTTCTTGTTGATTCTGGACTTAAGCTTCCCCAGTAAAGCTTGCTTCTTATACTGCAACCGCGGCAGGCTGTGGAATTTGCAAAACTTGCTTCAATTGTGTTTGCTGTCTATTGTCTGTCTTTTCCCACTGAATAGTCAGCTACACGCAGCAGGGATCTCTGTCTGCTTTGTTCACAGATGCATACGTATAGACTGAACATGTCTGGCACACCGTAGGTGTTCAATAAATATTTCTTGAATGAATGAAACTCCTTGTGGGCAAGGAAGCAAAGCCATTCTTTGTATGTACTTATTTTAATGCCCCAGAGCTAGCACAGGACTAACAAAGGAATTGCCTGATACATATTTTTATCTGAGCCCAGATGTTTTTAGCAGAACTGCAACTACATGCCTGTCTTCACTGACTTCTATTCATGTCTGGCCAATAGCACTGGAGCCTGCTGTCCTGGCTTCATCTGTAGCTGGCAGTCTCCGGCAGCCATGATATTGCCCTGGCTCGTGCTGTGTTGAAAGTGGCCCAAACTGCCAAAGATTTACTCTCCTCTCCCTTTTAGTGTACTTCCCGCTGGGCTGCTTTGTGGATGTTTCAGAGGAGTCTCTCCATTCCTTTCTAGTTGGCTTACAATGATAGGCCATGATAATTTGGATTCATGGAGAAATAAATCTCTTTGTAAAAATGGCAATATACAGATGAAGAAATTTCTTTCAGTAGATCTGGTTTAACAATAAATTGGAGAAATCTGACTGTCACTAAGGATAGCATCAACCTGCCCCTAGCCCTCTCTTAACATTTCATTGTTTCCATAATATCCAACAAAAGGCTCTGGTTTAGAGTTACTTCTTAAAGCATTTAGTCCTAGGAGTAAGACAAATGTGGATTGAATCCCAGCTTGAACAATTTACTAATTCATCATCCTAGGACTCAGTTTCCACAATTTTAGCAACCCCCATTTTTCTGAGTTGTTGGAAATACTAGCAAATATGTATGCTATACCCCTAGCACAGTGTCCATTCTTCGATGAAGGGAGCTATGAATAAAAATAGATCTACTGTTCCTACTAAAAACTGTAGGGAAAAAAGATTGGAAGGAAATACATCAAAATGTGAACAGTCATTGCTCTTGGGTGGTGAGATTATTGTGCTTTTATCTTGGTGATTTAAATTTTCCCCAGCTTTTTTATACCTCGTAAAATGACTCTGCAGTAGGTTCATAATCAGAAATGTTAATAAAATAATAACTTAAATAACCCTTAATAGTTTAAAAATTCTCAATTCTCCTTCTACAGTTCTGTCCTGTTTCTCAGTAATAACTCAATAAAAATCTAACTAAAGAAAAGAAGTTGTGTTAATTCATTTCATAAGCAACCAGGAGAATTAATATGAGTACACAGACCCAGGAGCTTAAAAAAAATCAGTCTGCAAACAAATATGAGTAAGAATTTAAATTAGGGATGTGATTTTCAGCACAAATGTTGAAGTCAGAACTTTTAGGACCTGGTAGGCAGATGGCAAGGTTTTAATAATGTTGGCCAAAAAGAGCAGTTTCGAGATCAGGAAACGGGCCAATAGTGTGCCATGAACCAGGCAGCAGCCCTTATTGTCTGCTGGAAAGCATCTTCTTCAAAGGCACCTCTGGAGGAACCTCAGCCACACTCCAGCCACTTTAGGGATCAGTGTGGAGAAAGATGTCATAGCCAGGTTGTGGGTGCCTCCGCAATGGGATTACTGTAGTTTGCATCACCTGAGGGGTGAAAAGTGATCGCTGGCTGGGAGGATGCAATCTCAGAGACTGGTACCTAGGGCGGAAGGAAATGCAGAGATGGTGGTTTCTGCTCTGTAAGCTGCCCAGCCCCTCCCACCTCCTGTCGCTTGCAGGGGCTGTGGTCAGGGTTGCAAGAGGAGCAGTGGGGACAGAGGAGGCATTTGTGACCACTCAGTCCTCCTTCATGAGACTTGATACAACTCCACATTTGACAAGGAGGAAAGAGGAAGTGGGGGCTTAGATGGAAACACAGGGTTGGGGGTGGTATATTCAAGGGTGGTATATTGCCCTTTAAAGGGCAATATTTTTGCCAATTCAGGTTCCTCAGTAACTGAAGATGCTGAAATGCATTTTCGGTGTTGCTCCTTTTCTCAGTGTTGACCAGCTCTGTAACTCATGACACCTGCAGTCTGCTGCAGAGCTCTGCATCTTGACAATCAGAACAAACCATTCATCTCACAGTCCTGCAGCAGAAAGCTAGGGTCAATTAGTTACCAAAATTGATATTTATAATGGGGAGAATTTATAACAGAGAATAGATGGCACGGAATTTTTACAACTCTGGCAATGCCCTTGAATTGCACAGACAAGATTAAGAAATTAATAATGTAGTTGTGCTCCATCTATCTTCTAGAAAACGCATCTAATTTTCCCCCTTAGCTTCATTTTCATGTTTCCACTTTGTGCAGATCTTTTACTTGCTTCTTCCTCCCTTCTTCCTCCCTCTCATTTAACTCTTAAAAGAAGAACCAGGGCAGTGTTCCCAGGAAGGAAGTTAGCACTTTTCCTGCTCAGGGCATCCACTGATTCAAAGGTGGACATTTTCAGGTGTTTATAAGACCACCTGACCATTTGGCTGCACTTCAAGAACTGGGATCAAGAGGTTTGAGTCCAGAGAAAGAAAATAACCAGTTGGATCAGTGGGTGAAAGATGGGAGAATAAATAGGGTTGTAACAAAGAGAAGGTCAGCTGTAAATGGGTCAGGAGACCAAAGTGGACAGAGTAGGCCCTGGAATGCTTGCTCGGAGGCCTGCCATGAAGGATTTCTGCCTGCTTCCCCACCCTACCCGGGGGCCAGCATGACTCAGCACTTCCTATTGTTGTGAAGGCCAACCCCAGGAGGCCCTATCAAGGCTGACTGCTGTTAAAACCAGTCTGCACTCCTTCTTGCTCCTGCTTCATTCAAGGTCTGTATAGTAAAAGGTTGTTCTAGAGGGATGTGTATAATTCATCCCAGTATTTGATGTTCATTTATTACTTATTTTTACTTGAGCCAACAGTTAAACTGATCAGGTTTTGGGCTGATGCCAGCTGCATTATCTGGTAGCACTGTCACATAAAATTAGCATTTTTTGGTGATTACTAGGTGCCAACATTCTGTGAAGAACTTTACGAGGTCATCCCATTTAATTCTCAGAAGCCAATCACAAGGTAGGTATTATCATCTCCATTTGCATATGAGAAAACTGAGGCTTAAAGATGTTAAACTGCTCAAAGACTAAAATGCTACTCAAGCCTTTTGAGTTAAGAGTTCATGTTCGTAGCCTGGTAAGTACTGGGTATACTACTGCCTTGGCAGAGATTAGAAATGTTTCATTGAGATTAAACAAAACCAGAAGGTGATCATATGTAGGAGAACATGGAGAAAATTAAAAACAAACAGTGGGCCAGGAAGGTGATGAGGAGAGAAGACTAGAGGGAGGAAAGCATAGGCTCTTGATAGAAAATCAAGGTAGCTAAAACCCATGGCCCTTTTTGGCCATTGTAGGGTCCCGCCCTCAGGATTGTTCACCTAACATCTTTTCAAGATTGACCTGCTTTGTTATCTCTATTTTTCATGTATGTGTTCCATGGATTTATTATGTAGATCTGGATTCTTCCAGCCACCAGGGGACAAGTGTGAATTCAGTGTGACTGAAGAGGCATCTGCCATACTGCAACTGAAACACAGGCTCAATTGCTCACTGCTTGCAGAGTCCAGTTAACAAGAGTGGGCTATGGTATAAAGAAAGTGAGTTATTTAAAAGCTTAGCTTAGGGAAAGAAGTGAAGGCTCCTCCCTTTAAGGATACCACTTCACTTTTGGGACAGAAAGCAGGGACTTTTAAAGGGAGACTTGGTGTGAACAGCATGCAGGGGAGGGAGCCAGCAGGTGGGGGTCTATGTGACTTGCTTTGGTGTCTTATATACCCTATGGTCGAGCCGGCACCATTTCAGGCAGAGCTAGGTTGTAAAGTATTCATTGTCGGAAGATATCCTCCAGGTGGGAGAGAGTTCTGTTGCAGGCATATTTTAGGTTGTAAATTGACTATGCTGTCTTGAGGTAATCTCCTGGTGGGAGAGATTGCTGGCTCTGGAGCTTCTAAGTCAGCACAGAGTCACCTTGCTGTATAGGGAGTGTCTGGTGAAGGGAAGGTAAAGATTATGATAGCATTTCTAAAGAGCTAAGTAAGAAATGGGGAATGGGGAAGAAGAAAAGATAAAAGAAGAAAAAATAATTTAAAGAAAGCTCTTTCTTTTAGAAAAATGGGGGTACTCAGTTACAATAGAGTGTATCCCATCTCCTAGTCTCCTGGAAATTTTCATTATTACAGTAACTGGGTAAGGCAGCAAAGGCAGGAGCATTATCTTTAGAAGGTCATCACCGAAATGTACATGTTGTCCTCAAAATCAAACTGCATGAAGGCAAGAAGGCTGGCTTGTTCACCTCCACATCCCTACCTGTGGAATGTAGGCAATCTATTTATGTACTGAATTAAGAATGTGTATGTAAATGAATTAAAGAGGTGAGGAGGAGGCAGGGTGTCTCTCCTCTTTGAAGACTTGATACTCTTGTCTAGCTGATTCATTGACTTTGCAGATTAGAAAATGGGAAGAAATGTATCACATGTAATATGTTTTAAGGGTATGTTTAAGTAGGATTAGGAATGGGAAAGTTTGGAGTGTGGCGCTTCACAGTGGGAGAAACGGAGAGCTGGTGGGTAGTGTAAACTTCCCTTTCCAACAGCCTCTTCACTTCCATCAATGTCTCTATACTGTCCTACCATCCTTCCTCCAATTTCAGAAGGAGAATTGTCCTTCTGACTCTACAAGGCTAAAATCTCTCCAGTTCTAGACCTCCAACATTTTTTCTTTCTCTCCACTGCTGTTTTCAAACAAATTTTCAGCCTCCAATATATTTTTGCTCTTTTAAAAATTAATATATAATATTATCATAGATGCATATCTATTTATATAGATGTACATATTTTAGAAGTACATGGGATAATTTAATATTTATATAATTTATAAAGATCAAGTGTAACTGGGATATCCATCACATAAAATATTTGTATTTTCTTTTTGCTAGAAACATTCAAATTATCTTCTAGTTATTTTGAAATGGTCAATAGTTCATTATAAATGATAACCACTCTACTGATCTATCAAACATTAGGTTTTATTTCTTCTACCAAACTGTATATGTCTACCCATTAATCAATCTCTCTGCATCCTTCCAATCTCTACACTCCCCAGCCTCTGATAACTACTAAATTACTCTCTATCTTCATGAAATCCACTTTTTAAATCCCATATATAAGTGAGAACATGTGCTATTTGCCTTTCTGTGCTTGGCTTATTTTCCTTAACACATAACCTCCAGTTTCATCCATGTTGCTGCAAATGACAGGATTTCATCCTTTTTGTGGCTGGATAATATTCCATTGTGTATATATACCATACCTTCTGTATCCTTTTGTCCACTGATGGACAATTAGGTTGATTCCATATTTTGGCTACTGTGAATAGTGCTACAATAAATATGGCAATGCACATATCTCTGATACATTGATTTCCTTACTTTTGGATATATACACAGTAGTAGAATTGCTGGATCATATGATAGTTCTATTTTTAGTTTTCTGAGGAATTCCATATTATTCTCCATAGTGTCTATACTGATTTATATTCCCATCAATGTGTACAAGTGTTCCCCTTTTTCTACATCCTTGCCAGCATCTGTTATTTCCTGTTTTTGATAAAAGCCATTTTAACTTGGGTGAGATAATGATAATGTTTGGATATTTGTCCCCTCCAAATCTCATGTTGAAATTTGATCCCCAGTGTTGGAGGTGGGGTATTGCAGAAGGTGTTTGGGTAATAGGGGCAGATAATTAATGACCAGCTTGGCACTATCCTTGTGATGAATGAGTTCTGGGTCTATTAGTTTCTGTGAGATCTGATATTTTTTATTTATTGTTTTTTTGTTTTTGTAGAGATGAGTTTTTCCACGTTGCTTAGGCTGGCATCAAACTCCTGAGCTCAAGTGAACTGCCTGCTTTGGCCTCCCAAAGTCTTAGGATTACAGGCATGAGCCACTGCACCCAGACCTGATTATTATGAAGAGTCTGGCACTTCCCTCCTCTCTCTTGCTTCCTGCCATGTGATCTCTACCCCACAGCTCTCCTTTGCCTTTCATCAAGAGTGGAAGCTTCCTGACGCCCTCACTAGAAGCAGATACTGGCACTATGCTTCTTTCACAGCTTGCAGAGCTTTGAGCCAACTAAATCTCTTTTCTTTATAAATTACCCAGCCTCAGGTATTTCTTTACGGTAACCCCAAAATAGACTAAGACAGATGATATCTCATTGCGGTTTTGATTTGAACTTCTCTGATGATTAGTGACACTAAATGTTTTTTTCATATATGTACTAGCCATTTGTATTTCTTTTTTTTTAGAAGTGTCTATTCAGGTTTTTGTCTATTTTTAAATTAGATTATTTGTTTTTTTTTTTTTGCTATTGAGTTGACTGAACTCCTTATATACCCTGGTTATTAATCCCTTATCAGATGGATAGTTTTCAAATATTTTCTCTCATTCTGTGGTTTATCTCTTTAAGTTGTTGTTTCTTTTGTTGTGCAGAAGACTTTTAACTTGATATAATCACATTTGTCTATTATTGCTTTGGCTGCTTGAACTTTTGAGGTTTTACATAGAAAAATCTTTGCCCAAACCAGTGTCCTAGAGCATTTCCTTAAACTTTTCTTCTAGTAGTTTCATAGTTTCTGGTCTTAGATTTAAACCTTTAGTCAACTTTGATTATTTTATTTTATTTTTGGTAGAGACAGAGTCTTGCCATGTTGACCTGTCTGGTGGCAGGGCTAACATGTTGAGGACAGCAGTGCTCCTCTGCCAGCCCTACACTAATCACCACTGGATTTTTACATGTGAGAGAATTACATTTACACTATATTTTCATCATTCTATTTTGTTGTCCTTTTGTTTCAGTAGCTTGCAGTTACCATAATGAACTCCTTTATTTCATATTTAAAAAGTAATATGCATTCATTGTAGAAATTTAACTTGATAAGTAGAAAAACAACATAAACAATAGCTATTGATCCCTTTTACTAATTAATGATACTGTCTTCTATGTTTAATTGCTTTCTTTTCTTTTCCTTACTCACAAGCTTAGACATACCCCGGAACTACCCCTTATCTTTCTATTCTCTATCACAGAGAATAATTCATGTAGTGCTTGATTTCATCATTAATTTGTTCACTCATTCAAAAATATCTAATGAAACCTACATTCTGCTAAGTGCTGGGGATACAAAAATGCATCAGATGTGGCTCCTATTCCCAAGGAGATCACAGTCTGGAGAGGAGAGGGAAAGGCAGATATAAACAAGTCCTTTTAACACAGGGTCTGAGTGCTTTGATGGAGCAGTGTATGTGAGATTACAGAGGACGGCACCTCACCAGCTTGATGGGGGCAGAGGGTGCATCTCCCCCAGGAAAAGGTGAGCCTGGTAAAGTGAGTTGGAAAGAGGAGGGATGAGGGAAAAGGGAGACAATTATCAGCCAAGGGGTCAGTCAGGAACCAAAAACCCAGATGTGAGAGCTTTCAAGGCATTTGCCGGAAATGCAATATTATGTTGACATGTGAGAAGTGCAAAGCAAGGATGTCCAGAGCTGAGCTCATAAAGGGGTAAGATCACGCAGACTTTGCTTCTGGTTAATACTCTTCATTATTAAAGCCTTCTCCTGATGAGGCTTGAATGAAGAGTATTAACCAGAAGTATGAGATTAACTGGTCTACCTACAGATAGTGTATTCTGGGTGGTTGGGTGAAGGATAGGTTTCAAGGAAGTCAACAAGGGTGGAAACAGGGAACCAGTTTGGAAAAGCTATTTGCAATGGAGTAGTTAAGAGGCAGTGACAGGTCGATCTAAGGTACTGGCCTTAAGAATGAAGAAATAAATGAACTTGAGAAATATTTAGAAAATAAAATGAGCATGGCTTGCTGACTGAAGAGAAAATAAGATGAAGGATAAAAGATGACTCCTGGGTTCTCACTTGGGTGGCTGGCAAGATGAGGGTGAGAGTGTTAGTGGCTTAGCTAGCCCCTGGTTATGAGGTGGTTTATATTGAAGGTAGGGAAGCTTAACCTTCAGACTCCCTTGCATGAAGCCATCCAAAGGCTCTGGGAAGGGCCATAGCAATTTTGTATGCTTGAATCTCTATTCCTTTTCTTAAATAGAGCTCATACCCTTTTAAAGCTGGTATTAGCCTCTGTCACACAAAACCTGAATCCACCCTGCCCATCCCTTTTCAAGTCATCTTTCTTATTAGCAGAATTAATCTCGCTAAAACTAAAATGTTGACATGTCAATCGTCTTTTCAAAAGCTACTGTCATCATGACAGCAGACTTTATCAGATTGACAATTTTACTTTGAGGTGGTCCTTTACTTCATCTAAAATTCATCTCCCAACAAATCTTTATAGTTTCAGAAAAGTAATTTTGACCTGTCTAAAAGCAGGGAAATCATTTACAAATGTTTGAATTCTTTTGTTCTTAGGCCTATCTACCAATTGAGTTGCCTTAGTTGCAATTACTCCGTTGTACTTTCTTGTTTATCACTCATATTCTTGCTTTGTTTTTATACCAGTTGTGGCTTTTTCTACTTTAAAACATTTGCCTAATCTCAGACCTGGCTATTCAGTTGTGAGTACTGTTTGGCATGACTGTACTCACAGAAACCACTGACATATACACATATCACTCTGTGTCATAGCCATCGGGCACATCCGGCAACACGATTACACTTTAGAATTCTGTTTTTGGTCATGTTAAGTCAAAGGCAATTTGCACTCTAGAATGTTCATTCAGAAGTATAAACCTTTGAACATCAGTTATTCAACAGTTGCAATATCTGGAACACAGCATACTATCATCTGCAGTCACAGAGGTGTTGGACCTTTCTCTCACCTGTAAAAAGAGTTGTCTTCATTGTTCACCACATTGCGGCCTAGTAAATGGCTTGTAAGGATTTTCCTGCTATCTGAGCAGCTGCTATTCTGTGTATGAAAAATCTAATTTTACTTTCTAAGATTTCTTCCCATAATGTCCCGTCTGCTTCAACAGATTCTCACTCAGACACACTAAAATGGGACTCATGATATCAATTTATTATTTTAGCAATCTCAATAAACAAGGCAGTCTTACTATGCTCTTTTTACTTTTGGGATAAGGCAGGCCTAGCATCTTCCTAAAAAAGAACATAATCTGCAACCTCATGTTACAAAAATTGCAGCTTGGTTGTTTTCTATTGATAGTCCTTCAGTTTTTCTTATAAGAGGATAACTTATGAGAAAAGTTGTTATATAAATAAAACATAGAATGTTTCTATTAGAAGACACTTCTGAGCCATAGAGCATAGTGCTGATGTTTCTGTCAGATTTCTCATTTCCCTTCTTCCCAGCTTCTTCCTACTTCTTCATCCTCTCCATGTCTGTTCCATGTTGGCAGATACAAATCAGAGATGCGATGAGGCTGACAGCATCTGTACAGGCCTAAGGGCTTCTCCTGGATAAAAGGACTTGGAGCTGCCTATCGTCATTCCACAGAGGGAGTTAGGAGCCAAGAAAAGCAAAAAGTTGTAATCAGCAACATAGAACAGATGCAACCTGGGGCAGGTGGAGGATTTGGGAGCCCAATTATTTTTTGGGAAAATGCTGTTTTAAGAAATTATATCATAATTCCCTTCTGTTATCCCAAGTCTCCTGATTGTTGTGGTACTTTGGGCATTCAGGGATGGGCTGTGTCAGTGCCTGGAACACAGCAGACAGTGAGGCCTGGCAGCAACCTGGAAGGTCGTTGTGAGATGGCTGGGGGGTGGCCTGCTGAAGATTGGAGCAGCAGCCTAGCTCCTTGCTCCTACCTGAGGGGACAAGCAGTACCCAGGGTAGATGTGTGGAGCAGGTGAGCATTCTTTGGGGATTTTCAGGATTACCTAGGAAGGAGAGCTTGGTAAGAGCCTAAACTTCCTTTTCGTCACAAATGCCATGAGCCCTGATTTTTGTTGCTCTGGAAACATTAGAAAATATCTGGCCTACCCCGAATAAAGCTTCCTGAGTCCATGTCCAAGAATGGGGCTAATTCCCTGCTTCCTTTCCACATACATATCCACTCCTAGCTACCTTTCATCCCCTTTCTGTCTCTGTTAACTTTGGGGTTGACTAAGTGGGTGGACTAGACTAAAAGGGAGTTGGAAGGATTACCGATTGCAGCTTGCTATTCCACACCAGAAGTGGCCTGGGGTACTCATATAGCCTGGGGCCTGATGGAGAAGATTCTCCCAGCACCGTGTGTCATATATGTCAGTGCCATGTTCCCCAGCTAATTGATACAAAGGCTGCCTAAAGGCCAGTGAGTGTGGAAGCATCATTCCTCAGAGTTCCTTTGACTCAAGGTTTTACATAATCAGTTATTAAGATGAATGGAATTTATTATTTCTTTCCTTTCTTCTTCTTTCTTGTCTCATCCTTTTCCTTCCCTCCCTCTCACCTTCTTTTCTTCATGTGTCCTTAATCCTAGAACATTTTCTGCTCATTGTTTTTCAGGCTGTGTTCCTGCTACTGCCAGTATCCTGTGTTCCCTGTTGTGTCCAGAAAGCTACTTACATCATTAGTATTTTACAGGGCACAAAGGGAGCTAATGAAGCTTAAGGCTAGGCTAGGAGGTTACTATCTTACCCTTTTGGCCTAGAAATTATTATATGAAGACATATACTATTGTTTTAACTATATGTCATATTATATACGTTGAATTAAGATTGGTCTCAATATACAGATAAGTGGTAACAAAATTCAAATTTGATAATTCAGCATAATGGTTCAGAACTTTGAAACAGGACTCTACTACTACCTACAGAATCTACTCTCTTATTATGTTGGAAAACAAGACTCACATGCATCAGTTTGGAATAGTTTAGGTGAAACCACATAGAAGCCAGGTTCTGGATGAGGTGTGGTGTGATCATTTATCTTCAGACTCACAGCTGCAGTTCACCCTCCCACCTCCTATTCCTCACATCTATGCAGCCCTCCTTCCCATCCTATTGGAATACTGGGAGGGAAATAGCCAGGGCAGTAGGAAACTCCCTTGTCCATAATCTGTTTTTCTACTATCTGCATTGATGACCAGAGGTCATAGGGGTTACTCTCTCTGCCTAAATGAGTGGAAGCAGAAATGTCACAGTTATGAAAGTAGCAGTTGAATTAAAGAAAGGAAAGGGGCTACCAAATATTCTGTCAATTCTTTATGATCTTTTTGGAATCTCCTTTATATGGAAACTTCAGTCATCTGAGGCCTCCATTCTTAGAAAGCAAGCATCTCCACATTGTCTTTGACATAGATGTACTTGTTCATAAATATTTTGTCCATTTTGGTGTCCTCCACATCCTATGTGCTCAATACATATTTACTAAACAAACAAGTGATTCTTACTGCCTTTAATAATGTTGTGTTGGCAGTATGAACATAATTTAATGCTAGGAGATAATAGTCATCAGGCCAACCATTTAGCCATGCCCTTTTATTGCCTACTCCTATAATTACATGATAAACACAGTAGCATGAATGCCCAGGGACTTTATATATCCCATTTTTTAATATTCATTTGTTTTGAGCATCAAAAATCAGTTATTGTGGCCTACTGTGTACTAGGCATTGAAACTGTAAGTGGTACGGTGTACCTTTTTTAGAATTCTCACAGTAGTGTGGTAAAAATTATCTTCATTTTTCATTCATTTATTGGTTCATTCAACAACCATGTGTCAGGATCTGTGTTAGATGCTAAGGAGACAACAATGAACAAGAAAGACAAGATCTTGACCTTCATGGCACTTAGAGCTGAGACTTAGAGAAGTAACTGGTAGGTAGAGACGTATCAAGTGACAAAGGCAGGATTTGAATCTGATTCCAAAATTTATGCTGCCTCTGAAAAATAGTGATAATCAATTACAAAGAACCTGCTAAGTGCCAATCCTTTACAACCTGGCTCATTTTTAAACTTTTGAGCCAATTCCATGTATTAAGTATGACTATCCTCATTTTACAAATAAGGAAATGGGACTCTCAGCTGTAGTCCCAGCTACTCAGGAAGCTGAAGCAGGAGAATCGCTTGAACCCGGAAGGGTTCATTACTTGACCAAGATCACTGAGCTAGTAGATGGCAGAGCTAAGATCTGGACACACATCAGCCTGACTTCAGAGCCCATGCTTCTTCCATGGGTCATACTACTGGCCAGTGGTGTAATGAAGAGAAAAGTCCACAGGCCAAGCACTGAAGGAGCTTATGGTGAGAAAAGTAAAATACACTTAAAGTGCAAAGCAGAATATGAGGTCACAAGAGTATAAGCAAACTGCTTTGGGGTGGAAGAGGGATTATTTTAGTCTAAGGAGTCTTCAAAAACAGAGGACAAAAGAAAATACTCTGATAGACCTATACCGTATCAGCTTTCAAGTAGGAAATGACCTATTATTCTGAATGAAAACACAATATAAATAGAAGTTAGGATTATTTCTCTTCCTTAATCTTTTTTTTCTCAAGGAATATATTAATTATATACAATTTATTGAGTGTCAGAATAGATATGGCACTGTAAGACATTTCAATTTCAAATATATTAAACTGGTAAAACATGTGGATCACAGAATAAACTGTAACCTCCCAATGGGTTCTCCTTGCCTGCCACCCAGACAGAGCTGATTTATCAAGACAGAGGAATTGCAATAGAGAAACAGTTTAATTCATGCAGATACAGCTGTACAAGAGACTGAAGTTGTATTATTATTCAAATCAGTCTCCCCAAAAACTCAGGGATGAGGGTTTTTAAGGACAATTTGGTGGGTAGGTTGGAAAGCAGGGTGTGTTAATTGGTTGGGTCACAGATGAAATCATAGGGAGTTGAAGCTGTCTTCATGTGCTGAATCAGTTCCTGGGTGGGGACCTGCAGACCAGATGAGCCAGTTTATTGATCTGGGTGGTGCCAGCTGATCTACCAAGTACAGGGTCTGCAAAATACCTCAAGCACTGCTTTTATGTTTTACGACAGTGTTGTTATCTCCAGGAGCAATTCGGGGAGGTTCAGAATCTTGCAGCCTCCAGCTGCATACTCCTAAACTATAATTTCAAATCTTGCGGCTAATTTGTTAATCTTGCAAAGGCAATCTAGTCCCCAGGCAGAAACAGGGTTTGTTTTGGGAAAGGATTGTTGTCATCCTTTGTTTCAAAGTTAAACTATAAATGAAGTTCCTCCCAAAGTTAGTTCTGTCTGTGCCCAGGAATTAACAAAGACAGCTTGGAGGTTAGAAGCAAGAAGGAGTCAGTTAGGTCAGATCTTTCATGGTCATAATTTTCTCAGTTATAATTTTCGTGAAGGCAGTTTCAGAACTAAATATAGTTTCTTTTTTTTTGAGACAGGGTCTTGCTCTGCCACCCAGGCTGGAGTATAGTGGCATGATCTTGGCTCACTGCAACCTCTGCTTCCCAACTCAAGTTAGCTGGGACCACAGGCGTGGGCCACCACGCCCGACTAATTTTTGTATTTTTTGTAGAGATGGGGTTTTGCCCTGTTGCCCAGGCTGGTCTCGAACTCCTGAGCTCAAAGTGATTAGCCTGCTTTGGCCTCCCAAATTGCCAGGATTACAGGTGTAAGCCACTGCGCCTGGCTGAGTGTCTTATTTTTTTAATTGATGACTATGTCTTGCTTTTTGTTTGAGGTATTATAATTAATAAAAGTATTGAAGAGACACAGTCTATTCTCATTTTTTTTGAGGTCCCAGTGGGGCTGCTTTGTATGGCTGTTATTTTGTGCACTGAACATAGATACCCAGCTGAGAGCATGAAAAGAGTTTGAAATCAAGCCTGCATACTAAACAATGCTTCTCACGGCAGGACTGACTCACTCCCACCAAAAGAAGGGCATTTAGGAGCCTTCTTAAAATCTGTATGAATTAGGAAGATTTTCTATGGGCTGGCAGTGGCCCTGAGTCCCGCAGCGGGAATGATAATGGTGCCACAACAGCCAGGGTTATATACTGCACTTAATATGATAACACATTTTAAATATGTCTACTATATACTTTAATAACTGTAGAAGTTTATTAAAATCTAAATTATATTTAAGATTAACTTAGTAATTAAGTAATTACATCATCATAAAATTTGTTAATGAAAATTTTTATCAATTCTATGTTCTTACACAAAGACAAATTATAATATAGGATAGAATTAAGTCACTTCAACTCTCAACTACACAATATTTTTGCACATAACTTCGGGTGTTTCAAAGACCATCTAAATCTCATTTTGTGGGATGTTTGGACCTCAGATTATACTAATATCACACTTATACTATTGTACAGAATGATTCAAAAAGTACTGAACACTTACAAATATTAATACAAACATGATCACAAACTAACATTTTCCATAGACATTAAAAAGGTCACTCACAGTTTGGCTCATACATGATTCTGAATTACCTGGTTACTGACAAATACATTTTGGAAGTGTTCAATTATTTTTTGATCACCCTGTATCATTTAACAACTTCTGAGAGGTTTCAAATGCCAGCTTGGCACTCCTTAGCCTTGGATGCTATTGTGCCGTGATTAAATATTATGGCTCATGTTGCAAGACGCATTTTATAGGTTGGATTAATGGTGAACAGAGTAACATTTTATTAAACGACAATAATTTTACTTTAGATTTCAGTAAGTGATGGCGGTATTACCTCTCTACTACAACACTCCCTCAAAATCAGATCAACACATAAACACCGCAGACAGAACCACAGCATCTCCGAAAGCTTCGGCGTTGTCATAGTGACCATCAAATTGTGAGCCACTCTAGGGCTTATTCTCATAGAGAGTGAAGATTCACAGGACAATGAGTCATTATTAAAGCAGAGAGAAGTTCCCTCATTAGATCAGTGAGTGAGTGAC